ATTCTATTCTACCGTGTTTCCCTGAAAATAAGACCCTGTCTTATATTTTTTTGAACCCTGAAATAAACGCTTGGCCTTATTTTCGGGGATGTCTTATTATTTTGGGGCGCGTGTGTCACTGCGTTTTTGTATTTACCAGATGAGCTCTTATTTTTGAACTTTCAGACTTACCGTAGCTTGCCAAGTTCTTATCTCTAAGCTAACTGCGCATGTCCACATTCTTTTCTTCTTCTCAAAAACTTTTCTTTGTTCTCCGGCCAAGAGAGGTGGCCGGGAAAGCTTTGCCAAGATGTAGTTAATTAGCCAGTAAGATGTTTTATTTTCTTTATAACAAATAAATTGAGGTTTTCTTAGAAAAATATATCTTTGGGTTTATTTTCTTAAAGCATACTTCAAGGGAAGGTCACGATCCATTCTCTAATCAAGGTGCAATTACCCAAAAGCAGAAATGGGATTAACTGCCATCCTGACAGCGTGGAGTAAAGCGGGGCTCCTCTTGCCATCTTACCTGATTTCCAGCTCTGTGTCCCTAACCCTAACTAGAGGAAATGGCTTATTATCAGAGGATGCCTTATTTTAGGGGAAACAGGGTATTCTATTCTATTCTATATTCTACTCTACTCTACTCTACTCTACTCTACTCTACTCTACTCTACTCTATTCTATTCTATTCTATTCTATATCACTAACTGACGTGATGCAGCAGTTGTGAAAAATAAAAGAATTCAGAATGGAAGCGCTGGATGAACCCAGATGGTGTGATACGGATGGCAATTTTTGAATCACCTGCTTGCCACTCCAAGAACAGAAGCCGGGCGTGAGGCGCGGCTGCGGAAATAACAAAGAGCATGGTTTTCAGGCAGAGTAGGTTCTTATTATTATATCCTGGGGGAGAAAACATACAAGTTTAGCTTAATTGGATTGCCTCCCCCCTTCCTCGGTTGCCTCTCTTCTACTCACCCATAAATATTTCAATTGCAGAGATTGTTCATAAAGAACTTGATGTATCTATCCACAGGAAATGCTTCTAGAAGTGGGATTGGGCTGGGAGGGGGTGTTTTTCTTAAGGGAGGGGCACTTTTAAATTAGCTCTGCTTCTCTTAAGAGTGATAGCAGTCTTCCAATACTTGAGGGGCTACCACAGAGAGGAGGGGGTCAAGCTATTCTCCAAAGCACCTGAAGGCCAGACAAGGAATAATGGATGGAAACTGACCAAGGAGAGATTCAACCTAGAAATGAGGAGGAACTTTCTGACAGTGAGAACAATCAACCCATGGAACAGAAGTTGCCTTCAGAAGTTGTGGGAGCTTCATCACTGGAAGCTTTCAAGATGAGACCTCACTGCCATTTTTCAGAAATAATATAGGGTCTCCTGCTTGGGTGGGGAGTTGGACTAGATGACCTGCAAGGTCCCTTCCAACTCTGTTATTATAAGTTATAAATTCTAAAGCCTCATCTTCTGTATAGAAGGGGACTGTCAAGGTTCCGACTGATGAACCCAAATGAGTCAGCACTCTTTGAGACGATCGGATTAACTCAAAGAAGTGTTTTATTGAGTGCATCATTTCAGAACAGAATAACAGAGTTGGGAGAGACTTTGGAGGTCTTCTAGTCCAACCCCCTGCTTAGGCAAGAAACCCTATGTTAGGATATGGTTTGAGCCTAACAAGTTGTCCAGGCAATATATGTGTTCTGTGACTTTAATATGAATATGTATTGTGTGACTTTAAAGTTTTCCTGCTGATTCATTGTAATGCTGAGTCATGCTGTAATTAGATAATCACTAGTTGTAAACGTATTTAAGAAAGATACTGTAAAGTATTCAGTTGATGATAAGATACCATAGTGTGTGGAGTTGCAACCATTGTGCTATCATCGTTGGATGGAGCTGCTACCATCGTGGTTTGTGAACCAGAGTGAGTTTGTTATTCTAACCAACTACTGTTTGTGTGGTAAGAAGAGTTTTTGTATCACTGGACTGATTTAACTGGCAAAGACTTGGATTGATTTAAAGACTATGAGATTGTTTTTTCACTATAAAGTAAACTTTTGATAAACCAGTTTGCACATCTCTTATTCATTGCTCTCAGCAACGTTTCTCTGTGCTCTACACTCTGGTTGGTAACACAACAACAATATCCTTAACACCCTACACTACTTCATTTCGGCATGCATGAAAGCACAACAGAGGAATTATTGAGTCTGTCATCTGCTCCTCTATAACTGTCTGGTTTGGTTCTGCAACCCAACAAGACAGATACAGACTTCAGAGGATAATTAGGACTGCAGAAAAAACAATGGCTACCAGCCTGCCTTCCATTGAGGACCTGTATACTGCACAAGTCAAAAAGAGGGCTGTGAAAATATTTACAGACCCCTCGCATCCTGGACATAAAACTGTTTCAACTCCTACCCTCAAAACGATGTTATAGAGCACTGCACACCAGAACAACTAGACACAAGAACAGTTTTTTCTCAAATGCCATCCTCTGCTAAACAAATAATTCCCTCAACACTGTCAAACTATTCACTAAGTCTGCACTACTATTAATCTTCTCGTTGTTCCCATCACCCATCTCCTCCCACTTATGACTGTATGACTGTAACCTTGTTGCTGGTATCCTTAAGATTTATATTGACTGTTTCCCTATGACTATCACTAAGTGTTGTACCTTATGATTCTTGATGAATGTATCTTGTCTTTTTATGTACACTGAGAGCAAATGCACCAAAGACAAATTCCTTGTGTGTCCAATCACACTTGGCCAATAAAGTATTCTATTCTATTCTTTAAAAAAAACATCTCTAACCATTTCCCACGGTTTTAGTATACTTAAAGAATAGATATTCCCTTCCCTCGTTGCCACAGCTCACATTGTCCAATTACTGCAGGTGTTCTGGCATCTCCCTGGAAACTCCTTCCAGTCTCTGTCCAGCACCTGTTGAAATGACCTTGGTTCCCACGGGATGATCTATTGTTATTGTCTGGTCTGACATTCCAAGCCTCTTCCCCCACTCCCCCTACTGTGTGGCAAGCTGAAAAACGAAAAGATGGCTGCTAGATCCATTTCAAAGTTGACAGGGACAAGACGACTGTGATTTTGTAGAGCTGGATTTAATCTGAGCTGGAAAAGGAACTACGAAACTCAGAAATTTGCTTGCAGAGGAAATAGTTGGAAACTGTTTTAAGTTTCCACCGTCTCTGCTTGTTGGGTGACACAATAGCAGTGGTTCAATATTTAAGGGGCTGCCCCAAAGAAGAGAGGGTCAATTTATTCTCCAAAGCACCTGAGGATAGAACAAAAAGCAATGGATGGAAACTAATCATGGAGAGAAGCAACCTAGAAATAAGGAGAAATTTCCTGAACAGTTAGAACAATTAACCAGGGGAACAACTTGACACCAGAAGCTGTGAATGTTCCAACACTGGAAGTTTTTAAGAAGAGATTGGACAACCATTTGTCTGAAATGGTATAGGGTTTCCTGCCTGAGCAGGGGGTTGGACTAGAAGACCTCCAAGCGTCTCTTCCAACTTGTTATTCTGTTTGTAAAAGAGAATTTTCAAAACACAAGGGATATGGTGAGGTTTCGGGGAACAAAAGACAATGCTTTGAGGTTGCAGATCTGGAGGGGATCATATTTTTTCCCCAGTTTTTGCTGAACAACAACGAAGAGCGCATCAAAAGCAATAAGATTTGACATGCCATATGGTTCTGCTGCTTGTAACAGATTAAAAAAAGCAACAATCCCAGAAATGATGGGCACGTAGCCACCATAAAATACCACATTTAGCAAGCGTATCCTTGCTTTCTTCCTTTGTTTTGCCCGAGTCTACTAAATTTAAGATTCAAATTCATGCACATCTACATTCACTTTCTCACACACACACACACACATACAGAGGGGGGGGGGGAGAGAGAGAGAGTTGTGTAAAGATATACTCAAACTTTCACTAGACTGGAAAGCATTAGAATGCTCAATTAAAGACGCCAAAACTTGGTTTTAACAAATTAGTTGAGGGGAAGGGTGTCTGTTATTCAGGAAGGCCTGTTAAATACTCTATCTAGTTCGATCCTAAGTAGAGGCAGATAATTTCTCTCTCTGGGCACACTGAGAGTATATCTGCTGAACAAAACTCCGCATTGGTGACAGGAAGGGCATCCGGCCAGTGGTGAAATTCGAAGTTTTTTTTACTACCGGTTCTGTGGGCGTGGCTTGGTAGGCGTGGTGTGGCTTGGTGGGCGTGGCAGGGGAAGGATACTGCAAAATCCCCATTCCCACCCCACTCCAGGGGAAAGGATGCTGCAAAATCCCCATTCCCACCCCACTCCAGGGGAAAGGATGCTGCAAAATCCCCATTTCCACCCCACTCCGGGGGAAGGATACTGCAAAATCTCCATTTTGACCCCACTCCAGGGAGAAGGATACTGCAAAATCCCCATTCCCACCTCACTCCGGGGGAAGGATACTGCAAAATCTCCATTCGACCCCACTCCAGGGAGAAGGATACTGCAAAATCCCCATTCCCACCCCACTCCGGGGGAAGGATACTGCAAAATCTCCATTTCGACCCCACTCCTGGGGGAAGGATACTGCAAAATCCCCATTCCCACCCCACTCCGGGGGAAGGATACTGCAAAATCTCAATTTCGACCCCACTCCTGGGGGAAGGATATTGCAGAATCTCCATTCCCACCCCACTCTGGGGCCAGCCAGAGGTGGTATTTGCTGGTTCTCCGAACTACTCAAAATTTCTGCTACCGGTTCTCCAGAACCTGCTGGATTTCACCCCTGCATCCGGCCATTAAACACCCTGCTAGCTCCATTCAGTTGCCCAGAGTCCACCCGCAAGAGATTACGGGGTCGTTAAAAGATGATGATGATGAATTTTCCTCTTGAGGTTTTATTACATTAAATTCCTTTGAGGAGAGAACACCTCTTACATCCAGGCACTGCTTCTGCAATGCTTCATAAGTCAAGAACCCAAGGGGTCTACTCACCGCCACCAGAATCTGCAGGGCGCTGTGCATGACCTCGATGTAACGGTACTCCAACGCGCAACCGATCACCGAGACGTACGAATGGCTGTCCAGACCTTTGATGCCGATCATGGGCGTCTCCTTCCTTACGCAACCAGGACCGTTCTCACTCCACCACGACTGGTGTTGGGAGATGTTAAACGTCAAAAGTTCACTTCCTGAGAAGGGGAAGTAAAAACACCAATAAATAATGCCCTTTTAAACTAGAGCCGGAGATCAGTTTTTGCACTTTGTCTGGGCTGTTCTTGCACAATACAAAGAGATCTGTGTACAGACACCAAATGGGTTCACTCATCGTGCTAAGACATTTTAAAACTGCTGTTTGTTGAATGAGATCATTGACTGGGGTCACTTGCTTGCTAAGTCACAAGCCATGGTGTAGAAGTTACCATGGCTGATGTCAGTGTAGTACATTCAATTAGGAATCAAATAAACCGTATGAGAGTTAGGGTGATGTGTAAAGTCTACATTTCCCATGCTGTCTATAGAGTTCAGAAAATTGAAGTCATTACTCCTGGTGATTGACCCAAAATCACCCAGCCTGCTTTCATGCTTGAGGTGGAACTAGAACTCACAGTCTCCTAGTGATTGGCCCAAAGTCTCCCAACGGCTTTCATGCCTGAGGTAGAACTAGAACTCACAGTCTCCTGGTGATTGACCCAAAGACTCCCAACCGGCTTTCATGCCTGAGATGGAACTAGAACTCACAGTCTCCTGGTGATTGACCCAAAATCACCCAGCCTGCTTTCATGCTTGAGGTGGAACTAGAACTCACAGTCTCCTAGTGATTGGCCCAAAGTCTCCCAACCGGCTTTCATGCCTGAGGTAGAACTAGAACTCACAGTCTCCTGGTGATTGACCCAAAGACTCCCAACCGGCTTTCATGCCTGAGGTTGGAACTAGAACTCACAGTTTCTTGGTGATTGGCCCAAAGTCACCCAACCGGCTTTCATGCCTAAAGTGGGACTAGAACTCATCGTCTCCTGGTTTCTAGCCTGGTGCCTTAACCACTAGCCCAAACTGGCTCTGACCCTGACCCCAAAAGGCAGACAACAGTCTTGACAATCTTCTCACTCCTAATCTAGGACCTTCGCTACCACTCTTAAGATGAGTAGGAGGGACTGATCTAAAACTCTCCAGAGCAGGGGTCTCCAACCTTGGCAACTTTAAGACTTGTGGACTTCAACTCCCAGAATTCCCAGCAAAGCTGGCTGAGGAGTTCTGGGAGTTGAAGTCCACAAGTCTTAAAGTTGCCAAGGTTGGAGACCCCTGCTCCAAAGCACTTCTCTAGCTGAGAGGGAACATGAAGCCAGATTTGCCCCCTTCTGCTCTGCTCATCTTCTCAGTTCAACGTCTTCTCAACTACACCACAGTAGCTCTTGAACGGAGAGTGAGGAACTGCCCTAAATTCATTCACACATAAGCATCGTCCTGATCCCCATCCATGTGGCCTCCCATGCATGTACAAAAAGAGGCGGAGCTTGTGTTTCACAACCCGGGTTTCATCCGAATGTGAATCTTGTTTCATCACTTGCCCATACTCTACAGATCCCCAACGTTGTAGAAGTAGCTTAGCAGGCTGGATGAATGGCTCCAGCTCTGCCATTGTAGGTTATTCAACCAATGATGGTTAAATAAAGGGTGGGCTTTAGGCAATGTGTGAACTAACAAGTTCATGGGTTCTTCCCATGTGTAGCACACACATATCTGTAATTGTGGCTAGCAGATGGGCAGTGGTGGTTGAGGTGTTATATACTACGTATATTATTTATACTAATCTTTGACCGACAAGACCTACAAGTGTCTCGGAAGGTGCTGAGATGTTTTTATTTGTCATTTTGGCTTCGGATTTTTTGAGTTGAATGTTTTGAATAGTCCTCTTAGAGTGGCAAAGGTAGGTCTGCTGGTCGGTTTAGCTAAACGTTAAGGTAAAAGTTTCCTCTGTCTAGTCAATCCAACTCTAAGGCAGGGTACCAGAGGTGGGTTTCAGCAGGTTCTGACCAGTTCTGGAGAACCGGTAGCGGAAATTTTGAGTAGTTTGGAGAACCGATAAATACCACCTCTGACTGGCCCCGCCCCCATCTATTCTCTGCCTCCCAAGTCCCAGCTGATCGGGAGGAAATGGGGACTTTGCAGTAACCTTCCCCTGGAGTGGTGAGGGAATGAAGATTTTACAGTATCCTTTTTCCTGGAGTGAGGAGGGAATTGTTGTGGCCCGTCAGCGGCCTGTGCAGCTAGTAGCTGATTCCAACAGCGAGGAGGCTGGTGTGGTGCTGCGCCAGCAGCCTGTGCAGCTGGCACTCGAGTCAGACATTGAGGAGGCTGGAGAAGATGTGGTGCCAGAGGTGGGGCCTTCAGAACCTCCTGAAGCTCCCATAAGTGAAGAGGAAGAAGAGGAGGAGCCTCTTTTGGCAGCATGCAGAGCTGCTAAAAGGCAGGAGTGGGTCCTCAGGAGGAGGTCTCCTTGAGAGTAAGGTTTGGGATTAATTGGCCACTCCCTTAGTTTATTTAAGGAAGGACAACCACTGAGGCAATTTGCAGGGAACAACTTCATTCACTCTCCTTCGCGTCTGGATCTTAGTTCTCTTATCAGTTTCCTGCAAATTGCTTCTGGGCTTTCTGCCAACCATAGTAAGATTACAATTATTTATTCTTTGGATTCTTGTAGGCTGTTAAGAAAGTTAATTAACAGCCTTTGTTTGAAAAAGACTGATTTAATTTAGTAAACTAAGATTTGTACAGACTTTGTGTGTGCTGCGTTCTTTGGGGTCTGTAGCTGGGGCAGAACAGGAATGGAGATTTTACAGTATCCTTCCCCTGCCACACCTACCATGCCACGCCCACCAAGCCATGCCCACAGAACCAGTAGTAAAAAACTTTGAATCCCACCACTGCATGATACTCATCTCCGTTTCTTAATTGAGGAAGCCAACATTGTCCAAAGACATTTGCCAGCATGAACTATATGCCAAGGCACACAGAACGCTGTTACCTTCCCAGCAAAGTGGTACCTATTTATCTACTTGCATTTACATACGTTTGAACTGATAGGTTGTGGGCAGGAGCTGGAGCAAGGAACGGAAGCTCAACCAGTCATGTGGCGCTCGGGGCTCGAACCCAGGCTGTCAAGCTTTCCACAGCTGACAAGCTCTGTGTCTTTCACCACTGAGCCATCGGGACTTCGGGTCTAGCTAAGATGACTCTCTTCCCACTTGTGGCAACTTAATCAGATTGTTGGAAACCGATGAAAAATAAATGCTTCTCAACAAGCAAGCTGGAAATGCTACAGTTGCAACAATTTTGAAGGGAGCTAGGTGGGTGTTGTGTATTTGCATTCACACAGAAATAGAAGATCTGGATTTAGTGGGGCAAGAGCTGGAAGAATTTTGCCTAAAAAAATCCAATTTAGCTTCCTCTTTGTTCTGAATACTAAATTTCCTCCACGAAGTCCCTCCCTCCTGTACCCTGCAGCCTTCTCATTCATTGCACGATCTAGTCTCCTACTGACCCCAGCAGCAATTAACCTCTTGGGTCACTTTAGTATAAGGGTCTGATTTGGGCTTGATCAATAGCTGCTTAATGTCCATCTCCCCCACGGCTCCGTCACTGTCTGCTGTCTGAAAGAATACTCTGAGGCCTTCAGACAGTGTTTCTCAACCACGGCAACTTTCAGGCGTGTGGAATTCAACTTCTAGAATTCTTCCTACCCCAGAAATGCAGGGATGGGATTCAGCCGGTTCTGACTGGTTTGACCGTACTGGTAGCTCCGACAATCAGCTGAGAGCGAACCGGTTTGCTCCAATGATCAGATGGGCCCGCTCACCCACCCCTGCACTATAATCTACCTATATTTCTTTTGTTTTAAGCCCAGCTGATAGGCGCGGTAGAGTGGATTGCTGCACCTCAGCTGTTTTACTGACTCTGGATCCTGTAGAAGGCAACTTTTGATCGTAACGAGTATGCGCAGAAGCGTGTGCACAGCGAACCAGTTGTTACAACTGATGAATCCCACCACTGACTTCTAACAAAAAGAACCCTCATCTAGGTCCTAAGCCAACCTGAAAAAGCAATTTTGAAGCTCTTCCTGAAGGCCAGGTAGGTGGAAGCACATCTTACCTCCAATGGGAGAATGTTCCTTAGGACAGATGCCACCAAAGGAAAGGTTTTTCTCTTCAACCCCGCCATGAAATTCCTTAACAGGTGTGGTCTGCAGCAACAAGCTCCTTCTACTGGATACGTGTGGGGTGGGCTAATCCCATTTGAGAGGCTGGCACAAAAAAGAGGAGGGGGGGGCAACCTATTTTCCAAAGCACCAGAGGGCAGGACAAGAAATAATGGATGGAAACTACTCAAGGAGAGAAGCAACCTGGAATTGAGGAGAAATTTCCTAAGAGTGAGAACAATTATCCAGTGGAACAACTTGGCTCCAGAAATTGTGGGTCCTTCATCCCTGGAGGTTTTTAAGAAGAGACTGAACTGCCACCTATTTGAAATGATATAGGGTTTCTCGCTTGAGCAGGGGGCTGGAGTAGAAGACCTCCAAGCTCCTTTCTGTTCTGATTCGTTGGGGCAAAATGGCTCCTCACTTGACAGTCCCACTTGACCTGATTTCTAGAGAAAGTGTTAGCACTACTTTATAATGCCTTGTTAAGTCTACACTTGAAATATGCATCCAGTTTTCGTTACCACAATATTAAAAAAAAAGATGTGAAGACTAGAAGGAGTGCAGAGAAGAGCAACAAAGATGATTAGGGGACCGGAGGCTAAAACATGTGAAGAACAGTTACAGGAACTGGGCATGGCTAGTTTAATGAAAAGAAGGACTAAGGGTGACATGATAGCAGTCTTCCAATATCTCAGAGGCTGCCACAAAGAAGAGGGAGTCGAGCTATTCTCCAATGCACCTGAGAGCAGGACAAGAAGCAATGGGTGGAAACTAATCAAGAAGAGAAGCAACTTAGAATTGAATAAAGTAGAGTAGAGTAGAGTAGAGTAGAATAGAATAGAATAGAATAGAATAGAATAGAATAGAATAGAATAGAATAGAATAGAATAGAATAGGAATTAGAGTAGAATAGAGTAGAGTAGAGTAGAGTAGAGTAGAGTAGAGTAGAGTAAGTAGAATAGAATAGAATAGAATAGAATAGAATAGAA